TTTCTCTGTTTAAAAAAATTGAGTTTTAGGCAAGGGTAAAGTACACCCAAACAGACAAGCCAAATTTATATATAGATGAATGCATTTATTTGTATGCTCATTATTCATTGATTTTCATTTTTTATTAATTAAATAAAAGTAGAAGAACTGTTAAACTCGAGAAATACATATTTAATATAATTGTTTTGTTCAGAGACCCAAGGTACTTTAGATCTTTAGTGGAGAATTGAAGAATTTTAAATTTAATTTTAGAACTTTTCAAATTTGAAGGAAAAATTAGATTATTTTCTTGAAAATTTTAAAATAAAATCTATTAGATTATATCCCCGCCGCTGCACACATTTTAATTTACAAATTAGGGATTTTTGTTGGCAAACTATGAGACTTAAACAATTTATGTTAGTCTTTCTACAAAATCTTACGACGAAATAAACTGAAATACCTAATACATGGTTTGTTTTTAATCGAACTTCGAGTTATGAAGATTAAAAAAATTAGCAATGTTGGCTTAGAAACATTTAACGTTTACTCTTTGAGATGAGAAATAGCTTGATTTGTTTTTCAGGTTTTTGGACATATACGGTCAACTTATAGCAATGGGAAGTTAGGAAAAAATCTAAACCATTGCCTTAAAAGAAACTGAACACTTGTGCCAAATTTTAAATTCAAAATCTCTATATCTTTGCAACTTGATGGTGTAAACCTTTGATATTTCAACAATTTACTATTTGATCCAGCAGAATTTGTAGGTGCAAAGAAACAGAGATGTGAAAAATAGAGTCTAAGACAAATAGGTCTGATCTATCAGCCATGAACGACAAAAGACGATCTTTGAATGAAGTGTTCGCGAAAAATGAAAAGGGGTTAGGGCTTACGGCGAAAAATAAGCGCTTTTGATCGCTACTAATCTTACTTCTATCTGTTGGGTCTATAAGGAGAAAATTGTTAAAAACTACTCATACTGAAAAACGTAGCATCCATACAAATTCAGAAAACTGCAGCATTCAACTCGGATCGTAAAAAAATCAATTTTATTCGAAACAAATCATATAGATATTACAACCAATAATCATCGATAATTTTTCGACGCATACATATATAATTAATTTTTCATAATATTTTCTATTTTTCATGATCTGATAGTTACTTTTGAAAACATTTATTCCTGTTACGAGGATTTTTGATAATGAAGACGATATTTTCATAGTTTCCTGAAATGTTCGAAAATCCAGCGCAAGCGAAATATTGTTAAAAAAATCAAAAATATTATTAAATAATATGAAATAATAAATTTATACGCATGCGTCGAAAAATAATCGATGATTATTGTTTGAAATATCTGAATGATTTGTTTGAAATTAAATTTAGTCATTTTTAACAATTTTTAATAAAAAATAAGAAAAAAAGAAAATATTAAGATTGAAGCAATGATATGCTAATTTCACTGTTGAACAAGAGGACGACATTTAAACAATCTTAATTTATCAAATGAAATGGATGTGGTCTGTGTTCATTAAAACCAATTGCTAAGTTTTATGTTCATTGGACTATATAGTGAATACAGTAGAATGGGAAGATTACATTATACAACAATAATTAAGAGTATTTTATATTGTAACAAAGCAAATAGTTGTGCTAAACAATTGTTAAATCACTAATTTTGTGAAATGGGTGTTTTTACACTACACAATTGCTGTGCCTAATGCTTATTTTACTTTAAAAATTATTACTTGATTCGAAAAGTCGTCTTCTATTTCAGAGTTTTCTGGTTAACACTGTTTAAACTATCAAACTGAGTCTGACCGTCATTTTATGGAATACACTTTAAATAAAATGTTAGAAGGTGGAAAAGAAAAAATGCCGCTTTACGGATGAATTTTTAAGGTTTGCGCCATCAGGTTTCATAGTTTATAATATTTATAGTTATTGATCAACTACAGTCCGCGGAAATAAAAATGTCCAAGGCAAGACGTATTGGGGGTTTTTCTGTTTAAAAAAATTGAGTTTTAGGCAAGTATTCAGTTCCTTTTCGTTTGGTAATCTGAGGAAAAACTGTGCAATACAGTTGTAAGAAATAAACAGTGAAATGTCTGTCGTCTAGTTTCATTCTTTTCTCTAGTATATTCGCCAACATTTTGAAATTTGAAATTGTTTCAACTATACAATATTTAGAGCACATCTATGGAAAATAAATCATTGATTGCAAAATCCCAAGCGATTAAAAGATTAAAAGAAGACGACAATAATTTCCTTGTTTTCTGGTCACCACTGTGTAATGGTACCCACCCTTCTTTAACCGCCTGGACCGCATGCTCTGATGTGTTAAAGATCAGTTTGTTGGACTTGATGTGGTCGTACACCTCGGCATGGTACTTCTGCAGGGTTACCTGAACGTCAACACTAGTTTAACAAAGGTTGTATTTAAGGATAGATATTCTGGATGCACTACAATGTAGGTAAATGTCGTCTTTATTTGCAATGACACTCTAAATCCTCATGACGTCACTGATACTTAATTAACAATCATCACAATTAACAAATATTGATATTGCTAACAAGTTTGAAGCTAAACAATGCAATTCTAATTCAAGTTTTCAATTTTTGAGTTCGTTTATACTTCGTGAGCCGCAAAATTTATTATTTTTAAAATAAGCAGTGACGTCATAAGAGGATTTAGAGTGTTCATTGCTATAACGGTCGTTTTTACCTACACTGGAGCACATCTAGAGTATATAACCTCATTAGACAAGGTTGTATTAGTTAACTCAGCTGAAAACTTTTAAAGGATTAAGTTGAACTCGTTCTCTATCAATCTAGAGATTTTATGCTTTCTTATTGGTCAAAGAAACATATTGTAGAATTATTTATTATTTTATCATCATTATTATTACCATCATTTTTAGCGTTATCAATATTAATATAATCAATATTATTATCGTATAAACATTACTATTATCATTGTTTTCCTTATTATCATTATTATCATATTGTTATCATCATTATCATTTTTACCATTATGATCATTATGATCATTATTATCATTATTATCATGTACTTACGTAAGCATGGGAGTAGGGTAGAGTGGTAAACTTGAGTGGAGGTTTATGGCTTTGAGGATTACTAATCTAAAAAGTGGAACCATAGATTAATAACAATACAGATAGAACACTAGAGGTCGTCTTTTCAAGGTTTAGGGGTTTTTCGTTCACAATAACCCTGAAAAAAGGCCCAATGGTGTTACACGCATAACGTTTTGAATTACAAGACAGGGAGAGAGCCTGTTCTAACTCCTTATATATACATATATATATATATATATACAAGGAGAAATCTAAAGTGGAAACTGTAGTACAAGGTATACTATTAAATGAGTTTTTCTTGTCTACATTGTATAATGAATATATATTAATATTTATTCATAACAATGTTATTTACTTTCGCAGTGCTATACAGTTTTTAGACAGAAAATCTTTTTTCGGAAGGATTCATAACTTTTCAAATAATTTTTTTTCCCAACCCAAGCCTTGGCCAAGTTAAAAAGACGAGAACCTTTGATATACATAACAAACTTAAACCCTAGATGTGCCAAATAATTTAGTTTTAGGTAATTTTATCAAATGTTTGTGCACTTGTTTTGATACAATTTCTAGATATTAAAAGCTTTACGACAAAGCAGAAATAAAAAATAGTTTTTTTTTCAAATTTAATTTAGTCATTACTGAAAAGATATTCTTGAAATATCCTAATTTATTTTAGAAAATCCGGGAATTAATTAAACTTTTAAGTAAAACACTATAATCTACATTTATTTTTAAACTGTAGCACGACAATTACTTACTGCTATAAATTATAAATTGAGCTCAAAGGCATGGATATACATAAAGTAGTAATCTCTGTTTGATGTTTAGATGTCCAATCATTACTCATGAAAGCTTGGACCGATTAGCCTCACCTATTTTTGATTGTGGAATTCGGGAGAACCACGTGAATGTTCTTAACTTGGTTTTGAGTTAAGTGGGTCGACATTTACAGGGAAAAATAGCTAAAATCCTAATTTACGACCAAGCGCGGGTAAACGGCGGGAGTAACTATGAGTACCCTGGGCAAAAATGGCTTCCCAAGTGCATGATAAAGTGCAGAATAAATAAAAAACATCTAAAAGATTTGTCGTAAAAAAGGGCGCAGCAAAAATATAGGAAGCTAAATCTATAAAGTTTCCATGGAGGACGATTTATATGATGAAAAATTGTTTTTGCATACCGATCTGCACATATCAAAGACTTGTTTTAAAAAAAAACCTTTTTAAGGGAACTGAGTTTTTGCCACAAATTATGATTCTACAATCGCCACATCTTTTCAACCTAATAGTGTAAACCTTTAATATTTCAAACTATTTGATCTAAAATGATTCATAGTTTGAAATATCTAAGGTTTCCGACATTCAAATGCAAAGCTATAGGGAGAAGAAAATCAGAGTTTTTGACAAAAACCAATTCCTTTTCGAGATTATTCCATTTATTACGGATATATTTACAATGTTTGCTCAAAGTGTTATCAAACATTTTTCAATATTTATTACTTCCCTCGTCGTTTATTCAATGAGATGTTTTTCATTTTCTTTGGGAGGTTAACAAACTAAATTCAGTTTTAAATTAAAAATAAATTTCAGATTTAAAACTATTTTTCTAGGATGTGATTTAATTTTGATAAGATCGCGATTGCATGTCAGTCTAAGGTTGTAAATAAACAAAGATAAAGGTTGCAACTTCATTTTTTTAATAAATCTAAAGACTTTATACCTCGCGGGTTTTCCTATCTGGAAATTACAGTTTTCTTCATCATTGCTTTTTTATGAAAATGTTACGGCGCAAAGTGACCTGAGGTCGGATCTTTTGAATGCGATGAACAGTATTTATCTGCAATTTCTAAACTCGATTATCAAGATGGAAATTTTTAAATCAAAACGATTAAGTACTGTTAATCTGTGATACAAAAGCTAACTTGTATATCTGAGAGCAAGGGCGGACTGAAAAATAAAAAAAAATATTTTAAATAACAAAAAAATCAAGCTAAAATTACTAGCTTTCATACCAAAACTACAAAATTTTCTAGCCCCCCTCGAAACCCCCTGCCTCACTCACTACGTTTCACACGGTGATCCTGAACCAAAAATGAAACACATCAGAATTTTTGGTTCCTATTTAGAGATTTTTTTGTGTACCTAAAAGATATCACCCCCCTGGCTGAGAAATCCTCTGTCGGACTCCGCCCCCGTAAACTGAGAGCTCAGAAATGATTTAACTCTAGGGATTAACAATATAAAGGGTTCCAACCCAATAACTCTTGTTTAAGGCACTATAAATGATTCACAAACTTATGTTGATAGTTAGAGCTACATTTTTTTAATGGAAGGATTGCCGGGAGAAGGGGTGAAGGGGGGGGGGGTAGGACATAGTGATTGGGTGTTTGCAAGCTCGATGGGAACTTTACCATATACTTCATAAAACTAACACTAAAAATATTTCAAAGATATCCATGTCAACTGTCTAGAGGAACACAAAAGTATAATTGAGTTTGTTAAAATGAAAGGGCAAAGTGTTGTGACACTTTAAAATCTTGAAAATTAATGCAATTTTTCAAAGCAGTCTGGGTCTGCAGGATGTCCCACATCTTTTCGGATCGTTTAAGGATGTAAATTAAGGTTTAGGGACCAATCAGAAAATTTAAAAAGAATGAATCATTTAAAAAATTGTAAAAGCCTAATATAAAAATTTGCGCGAAGAAACTACTAGGTTTTTAGATTATTATGTGCGTATTTCAGCGTTAAATCTTTGAGATAATCTTGTTATATCCAATTTGTGCCCGTCTTCAAGCTAATAGATCGTAAGACTTTTTTCATTATAAACATTATTTTCACAATATGTATTTTTTCTGGAAATATTGAGATTTTCATTGTTATCGATTCTTTGGAGACGGTTTTTGTGTGCTGAATATGTGAAAGCTGTAGTAATCTGGATCATTAGTTGGGGGAACAAATACCCTTCAAGTTCCGTCCCTGGTAGATTGTTGCTTAGCTTCTTCGAGTCACTCCTTTCTTTGAGTTCTACAAATCTATTATGATATAGCTAGGAACTATGGAAAGAGGAGGCTAACGGGAGGGAGAGAAAATGCAATTTTCTGATATGTATGCGAAACCTACGGAATTGCATATTTGCAAATTTGCATAAATTAGAAATTTTATTCTTTTCTTTATATTTATTCGTTTATGTCTTAATCCAAAAGATTTGGCTATTTGTATGTATAGATATATAAATATATATATATATATTTGTATGTATAGATATATAAAACCTACTTTATTTTTTATCAAAAATGATTGTTTAAAAACTACCCAACAAACTTAATATTTGAAATCAAACTATTTGCACAGAAAAACTGTTGTTGAAAGCATTTCCTAGTTTTTCCATTTCAAAAATTTTTGTTTGCACAACAGAAAATTTCCTGCACAAAGGCAATTTCTAGAAATATAATTAACCAAATTGTGTTTTAGTATAGGTATATATATCACTATAGTTTTAGTAGAAGTAAATATTTCCATTTACTGTTTTATCTCTAATTGGATAATGAGATAGATAGAAAGATAGATGTTACCGCCATGCTATTTCTATTGGTTCAGAATAGACACCAAACACATGGCTGAACCCTGATTGGATCAGGCACTACAATGGACTCGGCATACAGGAGTGATTATCTACCTTTGTTTTTGAGATGTCAATATTTAGTTTCTTTTGCACTTTTTAATTGGCTTCAAACCAAAGTAATAAGTTAAAATGTAAGGTAATGAATACACTATACAGTGATAAGCAGAAAACAGTGGAATTCTAGTCAGCAATTTTCTTTCTTTTTTTATCAAGAAATGTTGCAATTATTAATAGTTATAACTGAAATATTTTTTAAAATGTTCGACAATAGAAACTTTTGTGTTAATCTTAAACAATTGATCTCGATATCAGATGTGGGTACTTTTAAATTTGAGGATCAATGCTTGGTCCCTCGAATAAGTTATTCTTGCAAGGATATAGAAGATGGATAAGATGGTGATCAATGATGATCCCAAGATTCACAAGACATAAGTTCTGACTGCAGCAGGAAACATTTTTAGAAAGGATAAGATCTAGGGATGTTAACGTTTTCATTTTTTTTTTAAACGACGACGAAAAATCGAAAACGAAACGATCGTTTTTAAAAATGGTCGTTTTAAAACGATCGTTTTTAAAAACGATCGTATTTCAAAATGATCGTTTTAATAAAACACGTCGTTTCGTTAACGATCGTAAACGACGACCCTTCGTTAACGATCGTTTTCAAAACGAATAATAACCCAAGTTACAAATGGGAAAATCCTAAGGAACCTTTTATATAATCAAAAGCAAGAATAAATACGAAAACCGTTTCACTGTTTTCTAGTTACCACTGTATAGACAGGAAAGAATAAATTTTCCCTCTTATATTATAAAATAAAATACAAAAATAAGTTTTTAAGATAAGATAGATGAGAAGAATAATTTCTTAGTTCTATATTCTAGAAATGTCTTGGTTACAAACTAAGAAAGTTTATTCTTTTTACCAAATAATAATATAACAGAGGGGATTCTGAGAAGGATTTTATTAAGAAATCAAGAATTTAATTTAAACATTCTGGACAACTAATAATAGGGGGGAAAGGATAAAAGCTAGCTTCCGGTAACTTTAGAATAATATTGATTTAAATGTGGAAATAACATCTACTTTGTTTTACTCTACAGAGGTTTGCTCCATCACCATCACCGAATTTTAAATTTAAATGAGTCTTTTAACACATTTGAAGTGTTTATTCCAAATTGTTTTATTAATTAAGATCAGCTATGAAAATTGTTTATTCTTTTTTTAGAACTGGGTTGACTTTGAACTGTCGCAATGCCTTGGCCTTAAACTTTATCTTACTACCTCACGCATACATTATTGTAGCTCTAGACATAGAATTATGCGTGCACGAGAGTGCACATTTTGGATCACTCACGGTGTACTATGGTCAATTTGAGTTCGAACCGGACCAACCCCTTGTACCATCCTTAGTGACGCGCTATAAGTACTGGCCCGACCATATCCTATGCCGGCTCGTTTTCAACTTTAATGGCGCGGCCAGACTTTGACAGTACCCGGCCTATCATTGGTCCTATTTGACCCACCCCACTAGCTTATTTTATAGAGAACTGTTTATGCAAAGTCGACCAAGTGCCGCCTCTTTTATTCTCAGAGGATATCCATATTCAAAATAATAAATACTTCTGGTTTAAAAGGGACTGTTGACGCAATTTCTATTGACCCTGTTTAAAGAGTGGCTTGTCTATTTGCAACGATCCTCTTTAAACCATTTTCCAGTAACAAGAAGAGAATATCGTTTTTTTATCTTGAGGATAAATATATTTTTAAGTTCTAGCTTTCCGTCTCTTGGATTTTATCCACTTTAATCACCCCGCTCAATAAGTTAAATGATCCGTGCCGGTGCAGCCCATTGTACTGTCCCGTCAGGCTATTCAGTTTAAAGTCAACCAAGCACGTTTCATGCAAAAAAATGTAGCCTGGCAAAATCACAGTGTAATGGAGAAGCGATCGATGGAAATCATCATTTTTACAAAGAAAGTTAAGACTATTTTCTTAATTTCTGCACAAACAAAAGGTTTAAAGGGATACCGTCTTAATTCGTAACTACGTGTACAGTCCCTTTAAAGAAAAAGAATTACCCTTGAATCCGTGAGTCCGGTGAGGTCATGATATTCCTTCCGAGGAATCATGAACGCGGCAAGGTTCGCAGTGTAGATGGCAAGGAAGACGACTGCGAACAGTGCCCAAATACTCGACATAAACCTGGAAAAAATCTGTTAGTTGATGGATTAATTTTTTCCAGTTGAATTACAGGTCTTGCTAAGGCAATTCAGTAAATAATAATAATAAGATTTTTTGGGACAATATTTTGTTAGGACATTTTGTTCGGACAATTAGTAAGTATGTCTTGATGGAACAATTTAGAAAAAATGTTTTTGGGACAATTCAGTTAGTATGTTTGCTAGGACAATTTAGTGAGTATGTTCGTTGGGACAATTCAGTAAGTATGTTCGCTGCGACAATTTAGTGGGTATGTTTGCTAGCGTAATATTTTCTAAGACAAGTTAGTACGTACGTATGTTTTGTTGGCACAATTTAGTAAGTATGTTCGCTGTGCCAATTTAGTGAGTATAATTGCTGAGATACGCTAGTAAGTACAGTTTGTGTGGGCCATTTAGTAAATACATTTTATTAAGACAATTTAGTAAGTGTATTTTCTTGGGACACTTTAGATCGTTTTTAAACAAATCCCAACCCTACTCTCTAGCACTAGAATTATATCATTTCTTGGGACAACTTAGTAATAATATTTTGTTGGGATAGTTTAGTAAGCATATTTTCTTTGGTCAATTCAGTGAGAAAATTTTGTTGGGACAGTTTAGAATGTACATTTTGTTGGGACAATTTAGTAAGAATATTTTCTTGAAACAATTTAGTAAGTTCATTTTGTTGGGACAATTTAGTAAGTAATATTTTGTTGGGACCATTTAGTAAGTATATTTTCTTGGGACAATTCAGTAAGTACATTTTGTTGGGACAATTTAGTAAGAAAATTTTCTTGGGACAATTTAGTAAGTACATTTTGTTGGGACAATTTAGTAAGAATATTTTCTTGGGACTGTTAATAAAAAGAATAATCAAATAAAGAGGTTTTATGTTTGTTTCTATCAAATGTTGAGTGGGATTCCATCTCTTATAAGTTTCTGAAAACTAAAGTATTATGATGGATCGTTTAAATAAAAAAATAATCTTAATATTTTGATTTATAAAAAAACACTTTTCTCTCTTTATTTTACAAATACGCAATAGGAGGATATACATTCTTGGGAGAAGGGNGGGTTATGAATATAGATCTCTTTTTACCTAGATGTAAGTCCTCTAGGACAATCAACTTGAACAGAGGCCTAAAAAAATCTTAAAATTAATCAAAGGAACTGAGTTTTTGCAACAAACTCAAATTGTTAAATTCTATATCTTTACAACCTGATGGTTAAAACCTTTAATATTTCAAACTTGGATTATTTGATCCAACAGAATTCAAAGTTTGAAATATCAAATGTCTACAATATTGGGTTGTAAAGATATAGGGATTAGAAAATCAGAGTTTGTGGCAAAAACTCAATTCCTTTACAACTTGTGTTAGATGTTGAAATAATTCTCTTGCATAATCCTAAAAAATAAATTTGCTTAATAACCAAGATAAATGTAAAGAATGAATTTTGAACTAAGGAATCTAAAAGAAACTTCCATAAAATGAATAATGTGTACGAAACTTTCTAGCAGGAATGTAAACAAAGCTTAGCCTGGCAGTACTGTGTGTGTGTTTAAAATTGCAGTACACTTTGGGAGTTCCTGTTATACTCCTTGCTAGACACTCCAACAGCTTTGTTTACAGTATTCCTACAAGTTTATTGTAAACAAATCTCAAATCAAATAAGATCAAATATATATTTTTGTCCATGGCTTATATAACATATAGAAAATAAAATATGTTTAAAGCATATTGGACCGAATATGATGACATTTGTTGAGGGAACCCATGGATACCCTCTTCCCCCGTTACCCCACGGGAACCCATGGGTTCACTTAAAAAAATTCAGCAAAGGTCCAGCAGGTTGGCCAGCTATAGCTAAACTGCTAAAATATATGTAATATAAAAACAAATATACAAACATTTGTTAGCTGGCCAAATTGGCAGATTTTTTTTCATTTAAAATTTCTAGTGTTTTTGAAATTCCAAGGGCAAAGCGCCGGACACTTCAGTTGTGTACATACAACTACACTGTACAGTGTACAGTTATAAATTATCAACTATTGAAAATATTTCGTTCTGTGTACCTGGAACAGTACTGCACAGACCAACCAGTAGGTTCGGAACAAGGAGAACCTATGTCCAGTTTTAGTTGGTAGAACCTTCATATCATATCCTGTAATATTTTAGTTTGTAGAACCTTCATATCATATCCTGTAATATTTAGTTGGTAGAACCTTCATATCCTGTAATATTTAGTTGTAGAACCTTCATATCATATCCTGTAATATTGTAGTTGGTAGAACCTTCATATCCTGTAATATTTAGTTGTTTTAGCTGGTAGAACCTTCATGTCCTGTAATATTTAGTTGGTAGAACCTTCATATCCTGTAATATTTAGTTGTAGAACCTTCATATCATATCCTGTAATATTTAGTTGTAGAACCTTCATATCATATCCTGTGATATTTAGTTGGTAGAACCTTCATATCATATCCTGTAATATTTAGTTGTAGAACCTTCATATCATATCCTGTAATATTTAGTTGGTAGAACCTTCATGTCCTGTAATATTCAGTTGTAGAACCTTCATATCATATCCTGTAATATTTAGTTGGTAGAACCTTCATATCATATCCTGTAATATTTTAGTTGGTAGAACCTTCATATCCTGTAATATTTTAGTTGGTAGAACCTTCATGTCCTGTAATATTTTAGTTGGTAGAACCTTCATATAATATCCTGTAATATTTAGTTGTTAGAACCTTCATATCATATCCTGTAATATTTAGTTGGTAGAACCTTCATATCATATCCTGTAATATTTTAGTCGTAGAACCTTCATATCATATCCTGTAATATTGTAGTTGGTAGAACCTTCATATCCTGTAATATTTAGTTGGTAGAACCTTCATATCATATTCTGTAATATTTAGTTGTTAGAACCTTCATATCATATCCTGTAATATTGTAGTTGGTAGAACCTTCATATCATATCCTGTAATATTTAGTTGTAGAACCTTCATATCCTGTAATATTTAGTTGTAGAACCTTCACATCCTATCCTGTAATATTTTAGTTGTAGAACCTTCATATCCTATGCTGTAATATTTAGTTGTAGAACCTTCATGTCATATCCTGTATTATTTTAGTTGTAGAACCTTCATATCCTATCCTGTAATATTTAGTTGTAGAACCTTCATATCATATCCTGTAATATTTAGTTGGTAGAACCTTCATATCATATCCTGTAATATTTAGTTGGTAGAACCTTCATATCCTGTAATATTTAGTTGGTAGAACCTTCATATCATATCCTGTAATATTGTAGTTGTAGAACCTTCATATCATATCCTGTAATATTGTAGTTGTAGAACCTTCATATCATATCCTGTAATATTTAGTTGTAGAACCTTCATATCATATCCTGTAATATTTAGTTGTAGAACCTTCATATCCTGTAATATTTAGTTGGTAGAACCTTCATATCCTGTAATATTTAGTTGGTAGAACCTTCATATCATATCCTGTAATATTTAGTTGGTAGAACCTTCATATCATATCCTGTAATATTTAGTTGTAGAACCTTCATATCCTGTAATATTTAGTTGGTAGAATCTTCATATCATATCCTGTAATATTTAGTTGTAGAACCTTCATATCATATCCTGTAATATTTAGTTGTAGAACCTTCATATCATATCCTGTATTATTTTAGTTGTAGAACCTTCATATCCTATCCTGTAATATTTAGTTGGTAGAACCTTCATATCATATCCTGTAATATTTAGTTGGTAGAACCTTCATATCATATCCTGTAATATTGTAGTTGTAGAACCTTCATATCATATCCTGTAATATTTTAGTTGGTAGAACCTTCATATAATATCCTGTAATATTTAGTTGGTAGAACCTCCATATCATATCCTGTAATATTGTAGTTGTAGAACCTTCATATCATATCCGGTAATATTTTAGTTGGTAGAACCTTCATATAATATCCTGTAATATTGTAGTTGGTAGAACCTTCATATCCTGTAATATTTAGTTGGTAGTGTAGCGCCCCTGTTGGGGTCCAGGAAACACAACTAGATGATACAACTAGATGATAACTAGTTGTCCTAATCCCAGTTTTTATCAAGTCACCAACTGGTTGAAATTCGGGTGCATAAACTCGATTTAAACTCGACTTTTTGAATTCCGTTTCTGTGTCAATATTTTCACGAAACCTCAACTTTACAAAAATGTATTTTTAAGTGAGAATTTAGTAATTAGAATCAATGTCAGTAACTTCTTGATTTTTTGATAAAAAGAAGTTCAACTTAGACAGTCTTGTAACAGGTTTAACGGTAAGTTAATACAGTATAACATATATGATTGGGTGAATTTGTGAAGAAAAATACTGGATTGGATTGGTGATATGTGGGTGATATCACCTGGATGATATGTGGGTGATATCACCTGGATGATATGTGAGTGATATCACCTGGATGATATGTGGGTGATATCACCTGGATGATATGTGGCTGATATCACCTGGATGATATGTGGTTGATATCACCTATCATCTATAAGATACCATCTAGATATCACGCACATATCATCCAGATATCACCCACATATCATCCAAATATCACCCAAATATCATCCAGATATCATCCATATATTACACATATCATCCAAATTCTTACTTATCCATGCTTATTAGCAACCCGCTTAAGTAGAACCTTGATATCATATACTCAATTCAAACTGTACAAAGCAAATTGTGCAATTTTAACATATCTAAGGTTTTTACAACATACGATGTATTATAAAGGGTGTCCCAATTTTTTAAAACAATTTTTCAAATAGAAAACTTTGAAATTACTGCTCCAATTTTGGTGCTATAACCTATAAAGTTGAAGTTCAGCGATGGAAAATGGTTATATAGATTTAGAAATTGTTCTTATTGGAAAAATAATTATGATAAAAGCTCTATTCGAGTTTTTTTGGTACACCCTGTACATGTAAGTAGAAATATAGGTTGACAAAAATTTGTAATCAATGTGAGCAATATTATTCTAAAGGTTAGAGGGATAGGGTTTATGTACACATTTTACTGTGATCTGATAGAACTGTTTTGAACTGTAGTTTTATCACGAAAGTTCTGAATTCAAATGAAATAACTTTCATTTTCAAGTTTAAACATAGAAAAATTATATAAAGTAAATTAAAATAAATATTTAGAAAGAGAAATTCATAATTCATAAATTCGAAAATGAAGGAATGGGGAGGGTTTAATTTTATTAGGTAATTAACATTTCACTGGTTTATATTATCAAATTCTCGCTGTTGAGTCAAATAGATTAAAAAAATAGATTAGATTAAATATTTTACTTAGAATTATAAATAAGTTATAATTTTATATATAATTTATAACACTATTATTTTAGTTTATAGTGTTATACCTATTTTGGACAGACATTTCCCTTTATCCAGAAGGTTTCAGATTTTTTAGATTTTATTTTGTTCCGTGCTTTAGCCAGGTACACAATATAATTAAGGAATAAAAAAATGAACAAAAGAATACAGGATAATCCGCAAATTTTTCATTGGTAATGTCAAAAATGATTTAAAAAATAATGACTTGCAGAAAATAGAGAAAATTCTTTATAGATTGTCAATCAATGAATCAGTTTGTTTACCTGCCGGAGAAAGCCACTCGAAAATAAAAATGGAGAGCGCGGCAGCCTGTACAGCAACCAACACCACCAGCATCCACGAGTTTATGTCAAATGGTTCTAAACACAATTTTTATTAAAATTACCAATATTGCACGTAGTGAAGAAAACCGGTTTTGAAACGTACATACTGTATGGTTCACTGTTCAGTCTTTAGAAAACCGAGCAGCGGATAAGTTAAGATATTTGGATATTATTTTGACCGAGCGATAGCTGTAATTTACTTTTTCGAGAAAATGGGTCTTAATTTACTTTTCCTTAAATTTATATGGAGACCAATCAAGATATTGGAGACCAATGGAGACCATTTAGCGGGATTTGATGTGTTTTTGAGTTTGTCAATTTTCTATGGAGACCAACGGAGACCATAGTGGAGACCAATGGAGACCATTTATCGGGATGTTTTTTTATTTTAAATTAGAGTGGTTTGTAACCAAATTTTTGTAATAATTATATGGAGACCAACGGAGACCAATGAAGATATTGGAGACCAAAGGAGACCATTTATTGGGATATATTTTATTTCAATTAGAGTGGGTTGTAAAAATTTTTAAAAAATTTTTATGGAGACCAACGAGATGCAAACATTTAGGGGTAAGAAAATCAGAGTTTAACAACTCAGTTCCTTTCTATTCTACAAAATGATTAAAATCTGAAAGGAAAGCTGCTATGTTTTGTCAAAATCTAAAATATATATATTAAAAATAAATAGTTCAATTTGTCTTTTCACTTGAACGAAAATTGAATTCTGATGAAAAAAGTTGAAAGTAAATTCTCCTAAAATAAAAGTGTTCGATGAAGTTTCCTTGGAGTTAGGTCGAGCACAGCTTGTGACTAGAGTAGACTGCTAGGTGGAAAGACTAGAGCTAGTCGCGTTATTCATTTTTGAAACAATTCCCGTTTTTTCTTTTATTATTTTGAGCTATAGTTTTGCTCTGTAAATTTATCATTAATTATCAATTTGTTAAAATAGTTAAATTATATTTGGATACAAAAACGATTGCAAAAGAAGGTCTATTTCTAAAACTCTTTTTAATATAGACTTTTCTCCCCAAACAACTTTAATGTTATGGTTCAAAATTCGTTTAATTCATTTCATTAATTTTGTACTAATTTCTTAATTTTCCGATCAATGAAATGTTTTCTATAAAGTTCCCAGCCCTGATTCTAAACGCTTTCAACTTACCAAATTAAACAATTCCCCAGATTTAATACAAAACTATTAATCTTAAACGGGGATAATAGATTTTGCTAAACTATTTTCTCTTTCACTTTTTTAAAACAAAATCAAGTGATACAGTTTTGTAAATTTAATATATAATGAAAGTCAGCAACATTTCGGTAAACTTTGTTGAAACTCTTAATCATTCGGCGGATTTAATAGATTCTTAATACGTCATCCTTTTGAAATTATAGTTTAGATATCCCATGGTTGAAACCCGAAAGGAATAACTTCAAAAGAATTGAGTCTTTGTCACAAACTCAAATTTTCTAATCACTTTGCAACCTGATGGTGTAAAACTTTAATATTTTAAACTTAGATTATTATTTATAGCTTAACATATCTAAGGTATACAACATCGGTTGCAGAGATGTAGAGATTATACAATCAGAGTTTGTGACAAAGACTTAATTCCTTTAATTACTTGTACATATCCATCAAATTCAAAAGTATATACATATCAAGATCAAACGTTGTGAATAAGTGTAATTTATCTTAAACCAAAGTTCTGACCTATGAACATCTTCTGAAATATATCCGTTATATCAAAAATTTAATATCAAGAAATTTTCTGGATACTGCAGTACTGTACTGCAGTGTATATACAGTGTACAGTGCACCCAAGGAATTGAGTTTTAACCACAAACTCAAATTTTCAATCCCTATATCTTTGCAGCCTAATGGTGTAACCCTTTGAGATTTCAAACTTAGATTATTTGATCTAACAGAATCGGGACTATAAAATCAGAGTTTGTGGCAAAGACTCAATTCCTTTAGAACAGAATATCGTCATGAAACCCGGTGTCGGAACCCGGGTTTCGTTAATATGTTTAGTCAATTTTGTAAATATCAAATGTTTTGTTTATAATATTATTTAATATAATTAGTCTCATAGTTTTTACATTCTTACATTAATAGCTATACAAATGTATAGACCCTCAAAAAAGTAAACTCAAGAGTTTCATTCAACGATACTTTTTTAAATGTCCGGCTCTGAGTACACTGTACACTGTACACTGGGCAGCCCCGTGATCTAACCTAAGAAAGCTGTTGGAGAGATAATCCCAGTTCTTTTTGCAACAACAATTGCAATCCCAGATTCCAGGAAGGGAACAGTAAAATCAACATCCTTCTCACGTTCTCGGCTTATCTTAATACAAATTTTTTTTCAACGTATTCATTTATAGTGAGACCCATAAATCTGTCCAAGAAACATGCAATTGACCTAATTTTCAACAGAGCATTGTAAAACTGCAACAATATAAACTCGTCTATCTTTTTTTACTGAATAAAGCCCTCGCAACTCTTTCATGAACTTTTTATATGGACATATCTACAGTTTCAGTTTTTCATATTGTTCATAATCAAATATCTACTAGTTGAAGTGTCCGGCGTTGCCCGTGACATACCTCGGTTACCCCCCAGGGGTAACCATGGGTTTCCTAAAAATATCAGCCAATTCGGTCCAATAGATATATGAGCGAAGAGCTATATTGGCTTTCTTACAAATAACAATTGGCAATTAAACATTTTTTTCATTTTGATTGGTCATAAATCTTCTCTGGGGTATGTAAAATCCAACACAGAATTGTGAACCCATCGGAATCGGTTCAGCCGTATTGACGTTAATTGGATTTAAACAAACAAATTATTCAAGCCAAATAAATAAATATCTATAAATATAAATATTGTAAAAATAAAAAATATATACTCAACCTTACCAATTCAGGATATTTTGGGGTAATTTTAATTCAGTTTGGGGCAAATTTGTGTGTGGAAAGTCTTAAACTACATTTCAGGGGCAAATTTGATTTTTTGGGGACAATTTTTTTAGTTGGGGGCAATCTTAAATCTTTGTTTTTTGGGCAAATTTTATTTTGAGGAACTTCTTTAGTTTTTTTCAATTTGTGTATGGGAAATCTTAAATCTTTATTTTTGGGTAAAATTTTTTATTTAATCTTATAAAAAAACAAAGGTTTACAAATGTTAAAAAAGGGGGCAAATTTAAGTCTGGTGGTGAGTGTTATTTAAAATTCTTTTTAAATGCCAAGAACAATAGCTATTTTTGAACCTATATGGACCCCTGTTAAGGACTTCTTCCCCCCCCCCTACAGGGGAGTGGCAAGCCTTCATAAGGGGGGCTTGCCCCACCCTTAATCAGGCTATGGAGGGTTTTTTCTTACATTGCAACCCCTTCCGCCTGGAAAAAGGTAGTTTCTCGTATTTTTTTTTATAACCTTCAGTTCGTAAATTCGATCAAAAAGTTAATGTAATTTCGAAGTGCTTTGGTAAGAAGTCGTTAAACTACGTGGAGATGGTTCAACCACATAATTGTAATGCCTGGTTCACTTAAAGTAGTTCTAAAATCTTAAACTATCCTACAGTATAACCAAGAACCGAGTTCTGTTTCCGCCAATAGATTAATGAATCCCAAAGGAATTGAGTCTCAGGCCCAAACTCAGATTTTCTAATCCCCATATCTTTGTAACCCAATGTCGTAGACCTTAGATATTTCAAGCTATGAATTCTGATAAATCAAATAATCAAAGTTTGAAATATCAAAGGTATACGCCATTTAGTTGTTAAGATATAGGGATTAGAAAATTTGAGCTTGTGACAAAGACTCAATTCCCTTGCGGCGCTATGATTGGTAGGAACTGTTGTCGAATTTTTTTGCATCAGCTGACCTTACATTAGGGTTTTTTTAAAATCTTAAATCTGATTTGAGCCAATAAGCAAATGAAAAGTATTTAAACTTGTGGTAGGTAGTTTAGCGATCTCTCTCCAATTCATTAAATTTGGTTCCTGGTAAACTTATAATACCTTGAGAGATGATAAAACCATATCAGTTTTCTTATTCACCAACACTCCCATCAAACCATTCCACTTTCCATTCTAGACATTAGAAACTTGTTTAATCACTTTCTCTTCAATTAAGAAGAATCATAAACATCTGAAAAACCAGATTTTTTGGAATAATGAATATATTAATAAATATGGAAAAAAGAATTCAAACTTCTTTGCTAAACTTGCGATGGTTCCTGGTAAACTTATAATACCTTGAGAGATGATAAAACCATATCAGTTTTCTTATTCACCAACACTCCCATCAAACCATTCCACTTTCCATTCTAGACATTAGAAACTTGTTCAATCACTTTCTCTTCAATTAAGAAGAATCATAAACATCTGAAAAACCAGATTTTTTGGAATAATGAATATATTAATAAATATGGAAAAAAGAATTCAAACTTCTTTGCTAAACTTGCGTAACTTTCAAAATGTTACAATTTTTTTTTAATTTGGTAGCGGGTCTACAGTCTACACAAATATTTTGTTTGGCATTTTTTAATCCGGTAGCGGGTCTACATACAGTCTACGCGCAGAGATTTAGTTGGGCAGAAAAACGTAGGTAGCCATGGGTTGTGAAAAACTCAACAATTTGTTAAAAGTTTCTTTTTCAGCAATTGTAACTTACTAAGAAAGGGATGTAAATTCTGTATAAAAAAAAATCCAATCTTAGAAAATATAGAATTTTAGGAATTTATTTAATAAAATTACCTCCAGGGTTCCCCACTTTGGATCATCCACTCTACGCATCACAGCAATATTAAATACATTAAACAGTATTTTTTTATTTTGTAAAATAGTTGTTATATGCGTTCCTGATAAGATCATAGTTAAAGCCAAGATCATCCTCAAACTTTCTGAAACAAGATATATTTAGTCAAATTTAGAACACAACGAAACCAAAAATGAATAAAATAACCATTTTCTGTCTTTTGATTGAATGATCTTTTTCTGCAGCAGAAACAAAGGAGGAAGTTGTGAGAATTTAAAAAAGAAAACGACGATATCTTTCTTATTTGTGATCAGATTAAAGTTTAAAGGGAATCGTTGTATATCGGGGAATATGTATAGTGGAAATATTTTTTTTGACCTAAAAAACTCAAAAAGGGTCAAAATTAATGACTAAAGACTAAAAAACTAGATTTTAAACTAAGATGGATATTTTGTCTGTTTTGCATTATGTTTTCTTTCCCTTAAGTGCTAATGAGAACCATTTGCATCAAAACAGAAAAATGGAGTATTTGACAAAATGTATTACTAAAAATTCTTTAGTTACGAATGGCCAGTACTTATTTTTTAATACAGAGAAAGTAAAGAATGTAAATGCCTGTGAAGATCAAGAAAAGCTCAAGTATGAAAATCTTCAGTTTTCCCAAAACTAAAATTCTAAAATAAATCCCCTACAAGCTTGATGAGTCCAAACCAGCCTCTCCTAAACCTGACCATATTTTATATATAATTCAATTTGTCTCCATGTTACTTTTAGCTGTACGATGGTTCATTAGAATCATTAATCTAATTAAAGAAGGGAAAAGGATAAGCTTCTCAAAATACAAAAATTTATTTAAACCCTATCATTTCACAAGACAGGATAGAAATGAAAATAATATTTGTAAACAAAATTAGATTTTAAGCCAATTTTCTACTTTTTTTATTCTCTATCTAACACTTATTAATGTTTCACACCAAGAATATATTCTATATTCGTATTCAATATATTCATAAAGATATATATTTACAAAGAATATAGTTTCAAAATTTTTATTTCCATTTTGCACTGTTCAAACATTTATCAATTTAATATTCAGTGGTTGTGTAAAATAATTTAATATTCAGTGATTGTGTAAAATAATTTAATATTCAGTGATTGTGTAAAATAATTTAATATTCAGTGATTGTGTAAAATAATTNTTTAATATTTTAGAGTTCAATGGTTGTGTAAAATAATTTAATATTCAGTGGTTGTATAAATTTAATATTCAGTGGTTGTGTAAAATTTGTAAATTCAATTACTCGTGAGGGAGAGATCAAAAAAGCAATATTAAATAATAATAAAATTAGAGATAGCGGCCAAATTAAAGTAAAAAAGGTTAAATGTTAAATATGATGAAATAAAAAATTTAAGAACCCCGAAAAATTTAGAACAAATAATAGAAATTAAAATAAGGTGGTTACCTAAACAAGTCAATAAGATGGTTACCTGAGCAAGTCAATAAGATGGTTACCTGAGCAAGCCAATAAGATGGTTACCTGAGCAAGTCAAGCAAGTCAATAAGATGGTTACCTGAGCAAGCGTTACCTGAGCAAGTCAATAAGATGGTTACCTGAGCAAGTCAATAAGAAGACCAGAGCAGCACATTCTTGTCAAGGTTTCATTCTCAGACTTTTCATTTTCAACACTAAACATATTGTAGGAAGCGTGGGAGACACCTAGCTTCTTGTGAATAAAGGAAGCCAGGTATACATCTAGCTTCTAGTTTAATAGGAAATCAGGTATACATCTAGCTTCTAGTTCAATAGGAAGCCAGATATAAACCTTCTCGTGAAATAGGGAGCCAGGTATAAACCTTCAAGTTCAATAGGAAACCAGGGATACACCTTCTAGTTAAATAGGAAACCAGGGATACACCTTCTAGTTAAATAGGAAACCAGGTATAAACCTTCTAGTTAAATAGGAAACCAGGGACACACCTTCTAGTTAAATAGGAAACCAGGTATAAACCTTCTAGTTAAATAGAAAACCAGGGATACACCTTCTAGTTAAATAGGAAACCAGGGATACACCTTCTAGTTAAATAGGAAACCAGGGATACACCTTCTAGCTAAATAGGAAACCAGGGATACACCTTCTAGTTAAATAGGAAACCAGGGATACACCTTCTAGTTAAATAGGAAGCCAGGTATAAACCTTCTAGTTAAATAGGAAGCCACCTTCTAGTGAAATTGGAAAACAGGCATAAACCTTCTAGTTAAATAGGAAACCAGGGATACACCTTCTAGTTAAATAGGAAACCAGGGATACACCTTCTAGTTAAATAGGAAACCAGGGATACACCTTCTAGTTCAATAGGAAACCAGGGATACACCTTCTAGTTCAATAGGAAACCAGGCATACACATTCTAGTTAAATTGGAAGCCAGGTATACACCTTCTAGTGAAATAGGAAAACAGGCATAAACCTTCAAGTTCAATAGGAAACCAGGTATACAAGAATGAATCTTACCTTCTAGTCAGGCAGGCCACTCCCCGGTTCATAGAACATCGTCCAGACACAGGATCCGGCTCAGATACTAGATAGATAGATAGTTAGATTCACAAATTAGATAGATTCATAGATAGACACATAGATGGCAGAGGCCGAATTTAAAGAATTTAAGTCGTGGCTTAAATCTGCCAAAACCCGGTTTAAATTGAGCGTCGGCTTAAATCTTGAAACATTTGATACATTTTTAAGTGAAACCAACCATAATTAAACCACGGCTTAAATTTAAACCGCGGCTCAAATTCTTTAAATTCGGCCTCCTCCCTAGACCCTACTTGTTCTGATTAAACTGAACATTTTCTGATTTATTGTCTACTTTTTTTCGCGACTAAATTCTACTTTTTTCTGATTTGACCTACATTTTCTAAAAAAAAAGACTTTACCGAATGAAACCCTACTTTACTCGATTAAATCCTACTTTTTCCGATTAAGACCTATTTTTGCCAACAATACTTACCAATGATAAAAGGAGGTTCTTCCAGGAAAGTAATTTTCATTGAGAACTTCTCTGGGACTCCCTGTTTTCCATAAAATCTACTTTTTCTTTTAACAGAGTTGATGAATCTTGAAACATAATTTATCTGTCAAAAACATATTTTTCTCACACAATACCAACATCATATAGATATATATCTGATGATATACTAAACACCAAATAGTAACTGATAAAAACCGAAAATTTGGCCGTTTTTTTTTTTACAAAAAGAAATAACACATTGAAATTTGTAATTTAGTAAATATAGAAGAGTGGCAAGAACGTGTCCAACAAATTATTTTGATGAATTGATGATATTATAAATACACTCTTCCTTTACCCTATTGTCCTTTCCTTCATTCATCCTCCCATTCATTCCATTCTTCCTTCTCTCATTCATCCCATTTTTCCTTCTCTCATTCATCCCATTCTTCCTTCTCTCATTTATCCCGTTCTTCCTTCCCTCTTTCATCACATTCTTCCATCCCTCATTCATCCCATTATTCCCTCTTTCATTCATCCCATTCTTCCTTCCCTCATTCATCCCATTCTTCCTTCTCTCATTCATCCCATTTTTCCTTCTCTCATTCATCCCATTCTTCATTCTCTCATTCATCCCATTCTTCCATCCCTCATTCATCCCATTCTTCCTTCCCTCATTCATCCCATTCTTCCTTCTCTCATTCATCCCATTCTTTCTTCCCTCATTCATCCCATTCTTCCTTCTCTTATTCATCCCATTCTTCCTTCCCGCATTCATCCCGTTCTTCCTTCCTGCATTCATCCCGTTCGTCCTTCCTGCATTCATTCCGTTCTTCGTTTCCTTTTTTAAAATTAAATTTTTTTCTTTATCTCACCCCCTCTCTCCAGTTCATACTGCCTTGATTTTTATTCTTTAGAAAGAATAACGATAAGTTGTTAAATACTGAAATATAAAAATAACAACCTGAAAATTAAATAAGGTCATCTGTCTAAAAATATAAAGTATAAGTAATCTCTATTTGTGGGTTTGTATGTAAGATCATAACTCAGGAACCCCTAAACCGATTTGCCTCATATTTTTATTTGGAAACTCTGTCGAACCACGGGAAATGTTTTTAGCTAGGTTTAAAAATATTTAGTTGAATAGATTGACTCTTAATAAGAAAATTTTGTTCCAAGGCAAAGTTGGGTTCCCAAGCTAGTAGCTTTATTTAATGATTAAGAATAAGGTGCAGGAAATTTTTAGATTAGAAAAAAGATTTAAAAACTTCCGTAATATTCCCTCTATTGTATATAAACTTAAGTCACATTTTCAGGTTACCCCCCCACCTTATCTGTCTAATGGTATCCAGAGTCTCTAAGATACGAGTCCAATTTTGCTGATCAAACTTAGTTTTTGCTGAGCAGAGAGAATTATACTAATCTTTAAACCTTTTCTATTCAATATTTATCTTATCTTCCAGACCATATTTTATCCTTGCCATATTTTATCCTTCCCATATCTTATTCATCCCATATCTTAACCACTCTTCCCGTATCTTATCCATCTATTGTTCTTTCCATACATTCGTTATCCAGATATTGAGCTCTCCGGGTTTCTCGGCATTGTAAAAATCATAGAATTCATCAATGTGTGTTTAACCCTTGCAAATGTATATTTATGTGCCTAATAAAATATTAATTTATTATTTATTTATTTATATCTTAACCCACCCTTCCCATATTTTATCCATCTATTGTTCTTTCCATACATTCTCTATCCTATATCTTAACCCACCCTAGCTTCCCATATCTTATCCACCTTTCAATTCCCATAACTTCTTTATCCAATATCTTACCTACTCTTTACATATCTTCTCCGTCTAGCATTTTCTCCATACCATATTTTAACCACTCTTCCCATATCTTCTCCATCTAGTAATTTCTCCATACCTTCTTCCTCCCATATCTTACCCTCTTCCCATGTCTTCTCCATCTAGTATTTTCCCATACCTTCTTCATCCCATATCTTAACCACTCTTCCCATATCTTCTCCATCTAGTATTTTCTCCATACCTTCTTCATCCCATATCTTAACCACTCTTCCCATATCTTCTCCATCCAGTATTTTCCCATACCTTCTTCATCCCATTTCTTAACCACTCTTCCCATATCTTCTCCATCTAGTATTTTTCCCATACCTTCTTCATCCCATAACTTACCCACTCTTCCCATATCTTCTCCATATAGTATTTTTCCCATACCTTCTTCATCCCATATCTTATCCATCCTGTACCATCTTTGTTCTATTTAAATGTCAACTTCTTCTTTATCTGCATATATCAAAGCTTCCCATCCCTGAACTATATACATATCTTATCTTTCCCATACATTTTATCTCTATACAAATATATTATTCTTTTCTACACCTTCCTATCCCGTAAATCGTTTATATAAAGTCTCCAAGGTATAATCAAGAAATAATGAATTCTTTATTGTTATTGTTATTATATCCCCCTTATACATTTTTCTTCTTTCTTTACTAATTGAGATCCAGGATAATAGAGGCTGCTTTATTATCTGGATATTATTAGCATCCAAGGGCCAAATTTAATGAATTTGAGCTACTTCACTGAACTACCAACTGCCAGTTCAAATTTGAACCATTAATTCAAACATAAAAATTAAGGAAAAATTTGATTCGGAGATTCAAATTTGAACCGACCGTAGGCAGTTTAAATTGTTTAATTTTGGTCCTAGGATATCTTAATTAGAAAGTAGATAAGATAAAGTAGAAATCTCTGTTTATTTGTTTGTATGTCCAATCATAACTCATGGACTGATTTGCCTCAAATTTTGATTGAGGAACTCGATGTTCTTAGCTTGGTTTAACAGTTTCAATCTGTTCAATCTGCAAAGTGGGTTCCCATCAATGCAAGTGTTAATTTAAGTTTAATTATCTTTTGCATGGAGGAGTTCCTGTTTATTCCCGGAACTTAAATTAAGTCCTTCAATTTAAAATTTATACTGTGGATATTAAGTTAAGTCGATGCCTAATCCAAAATTAAGGAATTCAGTTAATTGCACAAATTTGAATTTTCTAATCCGTATATCTTTGCAACCTGATGGAAAAGACCTTCGAAATATCAGTCTATCTATTAGTTTGCTCAGATATATGGATTTCAAACAAGAATTTGTGAAAAGAAAAGCGATCTTCAGGATCCTTTTGTTGCGTGATATCCAATGATATCTTATAAATTATATAGATAAATCAATCTAAATATTGTTCACTGTTTCTAGGTTTCATGGCTAAAAAACAAACAAACTTTATANCTTGCTACACCTGTCTTGCTAAACCTGTCTTGCCACATTTTTAATATTTTAGAGTTCCTCATAATACAGATTTATTTTCGTCATACAATTTTTTGTTCGATGATTGGTTTCTGTGTAAAGGAATAAACACTTGCCTCAAACTCCAATTTTCTATTCCTGAAAATATTTTCCAACCATAGGTTTACACCATCAGGTTTTAAAGATGTAAATGTAACTGTATGTCAGTGTGTGTGAATATATCTGAGTTATATTTTATTTTTATTCTAAGTTCTAGGGAAATCTTAAGTAAAATCTCTCCTTCATGTTATCTATATTATTATATTGTCTCTGAGACTTTGATAAAAGCATTCATTGAATCTAGTTCTCCATTTTTATTGCTCAACTTCTCTGGTTCCATTTCATGCTTCACATGTTTTATAGATATCAAACAAAGGGAATTATTTCTTCAATCTTTTCATCTTCATCCCACAACAGTGAATTTCATCATATATGCTTTATATCTAACAATTATATTGTGAATTTCATCATCTATGCTTTATATCTACCAGTTATATAGTGAATTTCATCCACCATGCTTTATATCTACCAATTATATTGTGAATTTCATCATCTTTGCTTTATATCTACCAGTTATATAGTGAATTTCATCAACCATGCTTTATATCTACCATTTTTATTGTGAATTTCATCATCTATGCTTTATGTCTACCAATTATAAAGTGGATCGTATCAACCATGCTGTATATATACTAATTATATGGTGGATTGTATCAACCATGCTTTATATCTACCAATTATATAGTGGACTGTATTAACCATGCTTTATCTACCAATTATATAGTGGACTGTATTAACCATGTTTTATATCTACAAATTATATAGTGGACTGTATTAACCATGCATATCTACCAATTATATAGTGGACTGTATTAACCATGCTTTATATCTACCAATTATATAGCGGACTGTATTAACCATGTTTTATATCTACAAATTATATAGTGGACTGTATTAACCATGCTTTATATCTACCAATTATATAGTGGACTGTATTAACCATGCTTTATATCTACCGATTATATAGTGGATTGTATCAACCATGCTGTATATCTACCAATTATATAGTGGACTGTTTTAACCATGCTTTATATCTTCCAATTTTATAGTCGATTGTATCAACCATGCTGTATATCTACCAATTATATAGTGGACTGTATTAACCATGCTGTATATCTACCAATTATATAGTTGACTGTATCAACCATGCTGTATATCTACCAATTATATAGTGGACTGTATTAACCATGATGTATATCTACCAATTTTATAGTGGAGTGTATTAACCATGCTTTATATCTGCCAATTATATAGTGGACTGTATCAACCATGCTGTATATCTACCTATTATATAGCGGACTGTATTAACCATGCTGTATATCTACCAATTATATCGTGGACTGCATTAACCATGCTGTATATCTACCAATTATATAGTGGACTGTATTAACCATACTGTATATCTACCAATTATATAGCGGACTGTATTAACCATGCTGTATATCTACCAATTATATAGTGGACTGTATTAACCATGTTTGTTTAACGTCTATGTTAGTTTAGGTTTTAATTAATCCTTGAAGGTTTCAGTTAATTTCCCTAATTAAAGGATTAAACCTTCTTTGTTTTCTATCGTAAAATTGATTATTTTTCCTTTTTGCATTATAAAACAAGAATAGGGTTAAACAACATGAAATAATTGATGAAGTTTCCAAAAGTTCTCTGCTCGATTTGATCCGGCTACCGATCCAGAATTTTATATTGTTTAAAACTTTTATTTTTGAATAGTTTATCTTCGAATATTCGCAAATGCAAATCCCAAGGCTTACAAATATTTAACCAAAGCATTTCAAATTTAGAAAAGTAAATCTTCTATTGTAAAAATGAAATTAAAGTGTTTGCTAAGGAGTTTTTTATTTATTTTTTGAACTCGTTGCATGGCAACATCTTTAGATTGAAAACTATATCTATATATTTTAATCAACTGTGAAAGATGCATAGACCCGAAAGACGGTGAAGTATACCTGGTCAGGTTGAAGTCAGGAGAAATTCTGATGGAGGACCATAGCGATTCTAACGTGCAAATCGATTGTCGGAGCTGGGTATAGGGGCGAAAGACTAATCGAACCATCTAGTAGCTGGTTCCTGTTGATGTTTCCCTCAGGATAGCTAAAGACATTTCTTAACTTAGAAGGGGTTTCTTTATAGTCAATGTTTGCACTCGGTTTTTAGAACAATTAAACTTTTTACTTTTCTTCCAGGCAGTTTAGGCAAATCGGTCCAGGGGTTCCTAAGTTATGCGCGGACATCAAAACAAACAGAGATTACTACTTTATATATCACCCTCGACTAAGCTTTCGGTGTTTTCTGCAGTGATTTGCACTGATTTGCAGTANTTACCCTGATGTTACCTTTAAATCCTGATCTGTGAAGAAGAAATCTGTCACAAGCTCATTCTCTTCGTTAATCTCTTTTTTCTCCTCTGTCACTGCAATCTAAAGTATCTTTGTTAGTCTCTTTTTTCTCTACTGCCACTGCAATTTAAAGTATCTTTGTTAGTCTCTCTGTTCTCTTCTGCCACTGCAAACTAAAGTATCTTTGTTAGTCTCTGTTCTCTACTGCCACTGCAATCTAAAGTATCTTTGTTAGTCTCTCTGTTCTCTTGCCACTGCAATCTAAAGTATCTTTGTTAGTATCTTTTTCTCTTCTGTCAATGCAATCTAAAGTATCTTTGTTATCTTCTGCCCCTGCAATCTAAAGTATCTTTGTTAGTCTCTCTGTTCTCTTCTGCCACTGCAATCTAAAGTATCTTTGTTAGTCTCTCTGTTCTCTTCTGCCACTGCAATCTAAAGTATCTTTGTTAGTCTCTCTGTTGCAATCTAAAGTATCTTTGTTAGTCTCTGTTCTCTTCTGCCACTGCAATCTAAAGTATCTTTTAGTCTCTTTTTTCTCTTCTGCCACTGCAATCTAAATTAATTAGTGATGGCACTGTTTTACCCGCCGTTTTAATGATATATGATTGTTGGCTTTCAGAGGGCTCTGTGGGTGAATGTAATGTTGAAGAAGATTTAAGTGATCATTAGATCACCATTGTATATTTAAACTGTAAATATAGGTTTGTGAAACATGCTTCATTTTTCCACTTAATCTTGGACTTTAACTTACAGTCCCTTTTCAAGTCTTTAATATATTATTATTCTTACGTACATTTCTAGTTCTCCGACGTTTAGAGTTGCTCTTTCGGCGGCTGGAAGACGATTTCATGGACGCCGACGATTTGAAGCTACCAGAAGAGATGATGGATCCAGGTTTAGACATTTCAATTCTGAATAATATTTTTGCTAAGAATAATATGGATAACTTAATTATATACGAACTACCTTAAGCGGTGCTCTCTGTGAAAAATATTATAAAGAAGTTATGGAATATCCAAATATGTATGACAGCCTGATTAAAAATTCAGGGGATGAGGGGTCAAACTTGCAATCCCGCCATTTCCAATCAGCCTCGTCTGTTGGGAATAGGTAGTGTACTGTCTCTGGACGGTAATGTAAACACAAGACGGATGTCGAAGCCTGACATGGGATCATCTTTCACAAAAAAAAATCAATGAAATATTCTGTTCATAGGAAACTATTATGTAAATTATCAAAATTATCAAAATCTAATACTCTTAACCTCCTCCGATACTAAACGAACAATTCTTGTTTACAAATTCCGCCCAGAGAGATCTGGTTTCAATATGTACGCAGAGTATCCGCAACTGCAATTAATTTTTCTTGCATTTTAACCTTGAGTTGAACAAAGTTTTGGTCAATGAACTATAATACCAACTTTTAAACTATTTGAAATGTTTTCTTTATCTTCAATTTTAAATAGGTTTAAATGAGACTTCCAGAAAGATAAGAATTGAGAAAGGTTCAACTCTAGTTACAGTTGAGAAAGATATCTCACTAGAAGGACTAGTGGAGGCAACAACTTCCCTCAGCGTAAGAAGTGGGCTAAGCTATAGAGACCAAACAATGTTTTTTGCAGCAATAGTAAATTATCTTGATATCCCTCTCAAACAAGTTGGTCTAAACAGAGAGACTGTGAGAAGAAAGCGACTTGAAATTGTTCAAAGAGAAGGCGTGGGTATTAGGTCTGACTATATGAAAGAAATGGCCGGTAAACATTTAGTTCTACAGTGAGAAAAGTCAAGGTTTTTCAAAAACTGTTTCCACCTAAGAGAATAAAGTTAGAACCATAAATTTTTTTGGATTTCACCACTAAGGTTAGACATAACACATAGAACCTATCCACCTTTTGATTTTTTGATTTTTGATTTTTTGGTGATCTTCCTGTGTCACCCTAATATATATATATATGTGTGTTCATGAGGATGTCTATCTGTTTGTTATAAATACAGGGTGTTTCTGAAAAAAGTGTGTTTTAACCTTTTTAGCTTAATAAACATCGTTGTGTCAATAGAATATTGAAAATGTGCAATTTTTTCTATTCTGTCATTTAAAACGTAAAAATTAAATTATACTTTGAAGATCTTTGGAACATTTTCTAACATTAGGACTACTTTTGAGGGTTATATCGGCATTTTAGAGAAAAAAATTTAATAAATTTAAATTTTATTTATAAAGCATAAACACTTTTTTCAGAGACACTCTGTAGTCTGTACATGTATACTCCTTTATGTTTTTTTATGTTTTGTCTTAGGATCAGTGTGACGAATCCTCTCTAACTAGCCTCGACTTTACCATGAAACCTTGAGAATACTAAAAACGTCTGCCGGCCGATGCATCTATTAACTTAACAGACCTCAAATCCGTCTGTCGGCCGATACTTTCAGAATAATGAAATAGGTAAAAAGGGTTTTAAATTTTGGTTTGCTTTTATCATCATTTAATTTCTCTTAAAATATGGGACAGAAATCAGATTTTCAGTAAATGCTTTTATCATTTTTTCTTAACAGACCCTTTAAGGCACATTAAGAACCTGGTAGTTTTCACATTTTTGAAATGTTTAATCTTACGTGCTCGATCCATTATGAAGTGTTTGCTTCTGTTAATTTGTTGTCACAAACTCGGCACTAAAACTAAATATTTGGAGAGAGGTTAATCCGTTCATATCTATCACCTGGTTGTATCTATCTATCACTAGGCCTTTCTGTTAAACAGGGATCAGTATCTATCTATCTTCATTGTGTAGTGTATCTATCTATCACCCTCTATGCATTGCCTCTCTCCAGTCCGAATGCATATTATGTCAAAATTGTGATAAACTTTTATTTAAAATTTAGCTTCATTTTATTTCATGCTGGTTTCAGGCGGATGCAAAATTTTAATATCTAACCGACATTTTTCACGATAATATAAAATAAAAATGGGAAAAAAAGAACCAGGCACATGGTCGACTTGTACAGCGGTCGGCCATTCCCTTCCGAGTAGGTCAGCGTAGGCTGCGACCCGTCTTGAAACACTGACCAAGGAGTATAACATGTATACGAGTCATTGGGTTGACTAAACCCGAAGGCGAAGTGAAAGCGAAGGACCGCTTGCGGATTAAGTACTTCGTACTTTTTATTTGACTATTTAAGAATTAAACCCGTCCAATGTCTTAACAAAGATAGTATAATATAGTCATTTCTCACTTGAACTTTATTCTTATTTTCTAGAGATATGTCATTTCAGATTTAAACTTCACATTTTATAAAAAAAAGAATTATACAAAACATAATGTTTCATGCCTCATGACAATTCCCAATAGTTAAAATTCTTAAAAATCTACATATGCATTTAAAGTTTTATTCTCGAGATTAAATCGTGGATAGTTGGACCTCCCTAAAAGCATGATTTGATTGATTTTGTTTGTATGTCCGATCATAACTCATAAACCTCTCTTAACCCATTTGTCTAAAGTTTTGATTGAAGAGCTCGGTAGAATCAAGAACATGTTCTTAGCTTGGTTTAAAAGGTCTTAAATGAATAGGATGACTCTTATAAAGAATACTTAGTTCCTGGCAGAGCTGGGTTCCCAAACTAGTCGTAAATAGTTTAAACATATTTTATCATTAATATATTTCAGCCCACTGAGTGAGCACGCACCAAAACTCTTCAGAACTCTAAGGTAGGCCAATTCAAAAGTTAAAAAGAAGTTAGTCGAGCGTGACAGGACTCGAACCTGCAATCCCCAGATCCGAAGTCTGGTGCCTTATCCATTAGGCCACACACCCTGTACTGATAAGAGCGCCCTGTAGGGTATAAATACCGCCATTAGATGTTGCAAACTTGGTTGCAAGAATTTCTCCTGGGTTCCCCCCTTAATCTTAAAACTTCTTTGCAAACACTTCTCCGTCGTGATATTTTCTTCAAACCCTCTCCTTGTAACTAATCATCGTTCTATTTTATTTAACTGTTTCCCCTTATTCCTAAATTTCAGTTTAACCCATACAAATGTTAAAATCTTTAAAAATGTCAAATCTGTCCGAATATCTAAACTATTTTTTTTATAAGATATTGTTTTTCCTTCTCTATTAAACCCTTCTTATATTTCTCTTTAAAATCTGTCCCATCCTCAATCTTTAAATCCGTCCCATCCTTATCTTCTGCATCCGCCCCATCCTTTTCCTTACGTCCCATCCTTATCTTTTAAATCCATCCCATTCTTTTCTTTTAAATTCTTCCCATCCTTATCTTTTAAATTCATCCCATCCTTATCTTTTAAATCCGTCCCATCCTTATCTTTTAAATCCCCCCCATCCTCATCTTTTAAATCCGTCCCATCCTCATCTTTTAAATTCATCCCATCCTTATCTTTTAAATCCGTCCCATCCTTAGTTTTTTAAATCCATCCCATCCTTATCCTTTCAATCTGTCTCATCCTTATTTTTTAAATCCGTCTCATCCTTATCTTTTAACTTCGTCCCATCTTTATCTTTTACATACGCCCCATCCTTATCTTTTACATACGCCCCATTCTTATCCCAACCTTATCTTTTAACCCCGTCCCATCCTTATCTTTTAAATCCATCCCATCCTTATCTTTTAAATCCGTCCCATCCTCATCTTTTAAATCCGTCCCATCCTCATCTTTTAAATTCATCCCATCCTTATCTTTTAAATCCGTCCCATCCTTAGTTTTTTAAATCCATCCCATCCTTATCCTTTAAATCCGTCTCATCCTTATCTTTTAAATCCGTCTCATCCTTATCTTTTAAATCCGCCCCATCCTTATCTTTTACATACGCCCCATTCTTATCCCAACCTTATCTTTTAAACCCGCCCCATCCATATCTTTAAATGCGTCCCATCCTTATCTTTTAAACCCGTCCCATCCTATTGTTTAAACCCGTCTCATCCTTATTTTTTAAACCCGTCCCATCCTAATGTTTTAAATGCATCCCATTCTTATACTTTTAATCTATCCCATCCTTGTCTTTTTGGTTTTAAACTGCGCTCATGAAATGTGTCTTCTTTGATTCTTTATTTGATGGTGATGCTTGATAGATTTTCTGTCAGTTTAACAACAGATGCAAGGCGGAGGATTAGATTACAGTATTAAAGCAACAATATAACATTGATTAGAACAATTTTTTTTGTATATTTTAGACTGCTGGTTTAGTGATAATACTTATCCGATTTTACTGAAAGGTATTAAATTTCCTAACAATTAACCGAAAAACATCAAAATTTGAACGAGCGTGACAGGACTCGAACCTGCAATCCCCAGATCCGAAGTCTGGTGCCTTATCCATTAGGCCACACGCCCTATTTCGTAAAATGGAACTCTTTATTTTATAAACTCTGTCAGTAGTTATTGCAGTCTTTGTCGCAATATCTACCTAAATGGTCATTTTCTCGGAAATTTTTACCGCCTTTTGAGGCAATAATGGTCTTAGGGAACCCTTGGTAAAGTAAAAATCCATTGACTTCACTGTAAAGTTGTTGGAAATGAACATCATCTGTCCAATTTTTGCCATCTGAACATTATTTTATTTATAAAAAATGCCTTCAGAGAGGATTGAACTCCCGGCCTCTGGTTTACAAGACCAGCGCTCTGCCACTGAGCTATGAAGGCGTATATACAATTTGGCAACAAAACGTTATTATACCAACATGTTATTATTGCAACATGCATGAATTACATTACTTGCAGAAGTATTCCTAGTTATGCAACAGGTGTTGCAGGGGTGTTTGGTACTTTCCCAAATGTGCAATTTCTTCAGCGGCAATTTCTTAAATGTACATTTTTCCAAATGACAACTTCCCAAGTGGCAACTTTCCATGAAGAAAAAACGGCATTTACCCCCCATGATGGAAGTATTAAATGCAAAATGAACATTTATGTTTCACATTTTAAAAAAAATAATGCAATTTTTTTTTTAGAAAATACGCAACTTAAAAACGTATTACTCCGGAAAATTTAAACAGTGTTTAAACATAACTTTGAATTGTCGTAGGAGGCTGATTTTTTGCATGCAAACTCTTAAATATGTTTATTACATGCATTTTTTGGTTTTGTAGGAATCTGAGCAAAAGTGCGCGCGCGCACTTTTTGTGAAAAAATGTTACTTTTTTGACAATAAATCATTGTTAACTTCATTAATTGCACTTGAACATTTTTCCTGACACTCTTGAAACAAATATGCGCTAAAATAAATTCACCTCCAAAGGCTTAAATGTCCGCGTACGCGCACAATAAAAGAAAATATCTTTGAATACTTATGGCCTAAGTTAGAATAACAGTTGCATGAGATACATTAATATATAGCAAAATATATCATATATTTCATTGAAAAAGTGCCACTTGGGAAATTGTCAATTGGGAAAATGTCCATTTGGGAAGTTGCTGCTTGGAAAATTGCACATTTGGGAAGTTGCCACTTGGGAAAATACCCTTGGTAAGTTGCTGCTTGGGAAAATGCCTTTAGGAAAATTTGTTTTGGCGTGCAAATAAGAAATGAAGTTTTGTTTAAATTTTAACATAATACTTCAAAATTGACACTGGAAATACAACTAAACAAGTCTTGTTCTTGAAGACTAGACTCATCGAAATGTTTTGTCAAAATAATCATGGTGTTTTAAAAACCCATTTTTAATAAAACTTTTTGATTTTTATGGTAACTTGATGTAGGAAAATTTACCAAAAATAGTATGATAACTTTTGAGAGATTGTGTTACTAATTATGGCACTTTTTTAGGATTGAATTCTTGGTTGAGGAATGTAAAGCGTGAATGAGTCTAGAAGACAGACTAACTCAGCTCAGCTTTATCAGCGTAAGGATGCTTTCTAGAATTTGAAATTACACGGTGTAAAGGAGACATTTTTAGATATTCTTAGCTTCTTAGTGTTCAAGACTGCCTTACACTGTGGACGTAGAATTTTCATTCTTTTACACTCAGCTCGTGTAAAGAATGAAAATTATTACACGATCAGAGCGTTAAAGAATGCATTCTTACACTCTCCGAGCATTAAAGAATCAAAATTATTATACTAGTTAAAGAATATTCATTCTTATAATTCATTCATACACGCTCCTTCTATTGATCTTTTCAACTTAGATCAATATTGCATTATTTTAAAGCAAAGTATCAATTCACATTGGAAAAAAACATCAAGATTATTTCATTATTACATTTTTCCCCTCGATAAGATTATTTATTATATTATATTTAAATCCCTCCTAAGATTTTCACTTTAGATCTTCCGTTCTTCTTTGATAATATTTGTTAAGGTTTCTCAATACATTTTTATTTATACATAAATACATGTTTCAGGGGTTCATTATTGTGGAGTAAAGACCTAGAGGGAGCCAGAGGGAGCTGTAAGTCAGAGCGTGCTCCAGGGTTCTGTGGTGGTACCCTTCCTTACTTGAGGTTCAAGCTTAACACCTGGCTTAAATCCTGAATTCTTGTTAAGAGTGAGCACCAGTTAAATTATCAATACTGGGACTGTATCCTGGTCCGTCCTTCTTTTAGATTTGACATGGAAAGTGGCGTAGGTTCAAGGAGGATTAAAATGGCGGAATTTGTAATGTTTCTCAGAGATGATTGCAAGATCATAATGGGTGATCATTCTCCCTTGGAATATGTTAAACCAGGAGATGGGTGAGGTGTAGAGAAAGAATAGCTGCAGGGAGAATAGGAGAAATATAAATAATTATCTGCTCTTCCAGAGACCGCTAAGAACACTACAGTTAGGAGATTAAATTGGAGTCTAGATCAATCCTACAGTGCTGGGGATCAGAGACCCAAGATTTAGAAGTAAACCAGGTATTTATTTTTGAAATCTGCATGTTCTTAACTTGTAATAATGTAATTTGCTTAAACCCTCAATTTAAATCTGCCCAATGATTATTTTAAAACTTTAATTTTCATTTATTTAAAGGGCATATACATGGGGGGGGGGCAAGAGGGGGAGTGCCCCCAAGATCTGTATAGCCCCTAGAACTCAGAGCAATTTTTTTCTGCTAGTGTTGTTTGAAGAAGAGATTAAGTAGTAATTGCAAGGTAATTGGACTGTATGTGTACTGGTTCCCTTTACAGTTTCTTGTACGTTTTACTTATGTCTGAAATCCAAGAAGCCAAATGTTTTGAATTTGCAGTTAAAATTTCTCCCCCCACCCCCCAGATTTATTTCCGTATACGCCCTATTTAAGCCTGTTTTAAGATCTATCTTTCACTTTAATTTCGAACTTTTTTTAAAAATCCATCCTGAGCTGAAAACTTTAATGATGGATATCGAGATCAATTGTTGATCCTCTCCTTCTGCTAATCTGAAGATTAATTTCTACAGATTTGATATTCAATCTTTAACTTTTGAAAAATTGGTTTTTAATTTTCCTGCATTTGCGGTGTCATATCAACTGGACTAATGATCGATTGAACGAACACAAGTTTTGGATTAATATTTATTAAGACAAATGCTTAAAAGGACTAAAGTCCTTATATTTGATAAAATATGTTATTTAATAAGTTCATATTAACATAATTTTATTTATATTTGTTTAAATGTTGTGAACATCTGACTTTAGTTCCAAGCAAGATAGCATCGTATCTGTATATGTAATCAAACCTTTCTTTGTAACATATAGTAGAAAATGTGATTTTCAGCAAGAGTGGATTAAAATGAAAATTAAAAGTTTCCACACTGGATATTCAGATTTGTTAATCAGGATTAAGGGTATCAAATTCTTAAGTTATCAGCTCAGAGCTGAAAACTTTAGAATGGTGGATATATCGGGATTAATGCTTGATCCTCTTTTTTGATAATCTCAAGATTAACATAATCTTGCAAGATTATCTTAAAAGTGTATGAAAAACGATAAAATTCAAATTAATATTTAATCATCTGAGAAACTGTAGCAGCCAATCAGAGAAAAGCGGGCAACCAATGAGAGAACAGAAATATTCTCATTGGAGAAAACAATTAACGGATATCCAAGGAGAGAGAAAAAGAGTGACTAAAATGAAAAGTTTCCACAGTGGATATTCGGATGAAGAAGTCAGGATTAAAGTTTTTCCATTCTTAAGTTCCCAGCTGGTTCAGTTTCTCCTTTCAGTCATTCTTGCTTGGTTTTTCTCCGTCGGTGTAGCCTTAATAGAAAATCTTGAAAATGAAAGTCATATGGGTGCTTAAAAATGCCTCCAGAGAGGATTGAACTCTCGGCCTCTGGTTTACAAGACCAGCGCTCTGCCACTGAGCTTAAATTTAAAATGTCTTGCGGAAAGACAATTTTTTGAAATATTGCAATTGTGACATGGATGAAAATTTAGAGATAAGGAAAAAAGTTCATAATTCACATTCGCTCTAAACTATTTTCTCTCTTTGGATCCATCCAAGCCTTCTTTCTTTCTTCAAATCCATCCTGCATTCTTATTTCAAATCTACTCTTACAATTTTATTCAAATTTGTCCAAATGTCCTCTCTTTATATCTGTCCCAACCCTTTTACTAATTTCTTCAAATTTGTCTACAGCCTCTCTTTAAACATATTATACTAGCTGAAGGGCTCAGCGTTGCCCGTGAAAAAAAATTGAAAATAAATGTTTGAATTTTTTTAGCCTATATCACCCCCAGGCCACTCATGAGTGTCCACACAAAATTTCAGCCGATTGGTCCAGCTGTTTGGCCGGCTATAGACAACATATACATATACGAATGTCTTGTTTTATTATATAGAACACAACTTCTTATTTCAAATACATCAGCTTTCAGATTACTCAATACTAATAAATGGTAAAGCAACATTTCTAGTTAAACAGTTAATTGCATTTTCAAATATAAACTGCAAGATTAACATTGACACTCAGATCAAACTAAGATTTAGTATTTTTTATTTTTGCTCAAAAATTTGCAGGATATTTTCTTAGTTTTTTTCCTGCCTCATTATACACATATCTTTGTTAATTAAATTTCTGTATATAATAACATATTTCCTTCTTTTAGGGATTATAATTGAGTTCTCCAAAGAAAATGAGACGGAACTCAATGAAACCAGGTAATTCTAATTGTCAATTCTAATTCTTCTAGCCTAAGCCTTTTTTGTTAAAGATCATAAGTATAAACTCATTATACAAATCATTTGAACTCAATATCCACTGCAGGCACTTTTAATTTGAGGATCAATGCCCAATCTTGTCATTTAAGTTAATCCTGATAAACATGGGATATTGAATTAAAGATTATATTAATCCATAGATGTTCACTAGTTATGAGATCAATGCTTGATCTGGATATCTGGATATTTCGAACTCTGGATGCCAAAAATTTTAGTTTCCTTTTATAAAATCTAATCTACTCCTAAAGGGGATGGTGGAGTTGGCACATTTGATGTAGGGGGGGGGGGACCTGCCTTCATTTTTGGTTCAAATCTTCCAATTTTTTGGCTGCACGCCTAATTAGGGTTCAAAATTCTTAAAATAAAATCACATTGAATTTTAATGACCTCAAATGACCTCTAATGACCCCCACAAATAGAAAATTTTCAACTATGGCTTTATGCATATCAAACGAAAGCTAGGAACCCAGAGAATACAGTAGCAGCAACAAATACAGTGTTTGACCTTCTAATGACCTCTTACGACCTCTAATGACATAAATGACCTCCAAAAATGAAAATGTTTTAACTATGGCTTTATGCATATCAAACAAAAGCTAGGAACCCCAGGAATACAGTTACAGCAACGAATCCAGTGTTTGACCTTCTAATGACCTCTAACGACCTCTGATGACCTAAATGACCTCCAAAAATGAAAATGGTTTCTTGAAACCGAGTCTCAAAACTGATCTCCCAGAAATCTCATCTTGTGGACCAATTCTGGGTAATTTCTCAAGAAAATCAGTTACAGGAAATGATTCTTGAGATATTCCTCAGAAACTCTTAAAAGAAAGTCACCACAGGTGGAGAATCTGGGGAAATTCCTCACTTTAGTTACCTGGGATGTTTTGAAAAACTACTGAGGTTTCAGGACTGAAATATAAAAAATTGGATTTATTAAATTTCTCTTCTCATGTTAATTAATTTCTTCATAAAAACTTTCTTGAATACTGCACTACAAACTCTTTATTTTTAGGGCTCTAAAGTTATTTTATTTGTGTTATTTGAAAAGATATAATTCATTTTAAACAAATTATAAAATTTTAAGGAGAAAAAGTGGCTTGTCTGGGATTACAAGGAAGTTTCTGATTGAGATCATGTCTAGTGGAAGTTAAGTCACCATCCCTGATTTGACTCAGTTCCTGGAGGAGAAGGGTTGATGTTGAAAACAACTATCCATAGTTCATCCTCTGTGGAGCTGAGGTTGGAAATTTCTTGGAGTAGGAGGTTAGGTGGACATGGGTGAGTTTTATCCGGAATCGGGAGGTTGGTTATGAAAGATATTCAAAAAGAGATTGCTTCACTTATTGGAATTCCTGAAGAAGTTAATCTCATGTTGTAGTGGATAACTCTGCAGTAACTTAATCAAAGTTATAGAGTTTAAATCCTTACCCCTGAATTCTAAAGTATCTCTACCTGAGAGGAGAGGAAAGTGCATTCTACCTACGTTGATACAAAGATCTGATCATTTGTCTCTTTGATTAATAGTGAATACCAATGCTCCAGCAGTGTCTTACCACCTTGTTTTGATTGGTGCAAACCATATCCTGGATATTCAGAGTACTGTCCCTGGTGGGTGGCGAGTATCCACCCTTGTGAGGATGGAGTTTCTCAAGGATGATCTGGAAGTAGACCTTAAGGATATAGAGGAAGCAGCGAAGCAATGGAGTAGTTTGAATGAAGAGGGGAGTAAAGATTTTTGGGTGGTCCGCTACATCTTGGAGATTATGAGGAGGATGGGATATTCAAATAGGACTCTTGAAATCCTGGACCTGATATTGGAGGGTTGTGAGACGGTGATCCAGGTATTTGATGGAGTACAGTTACGAAATATCCAGGGGCTCAAGCAGGGTTGCCCTCATCAGTTCCCCTCTTCATCAGCATAGAGCCACTGATCAGGAGTCTAGTAAAGGTGACCACAGGAGTGCAGGTTGGACCAGTTTGGCAAAAGGTGTCAACATGTTCTCAACTAGGCACTTCGATCTGAAGCTAATTGATAAGATATTTTGTAAGTACAAGAGGCTGAGCTGTACTCTGCTCGGTAGGTCCTGGACATAAATGTTGTCAGCTCCTGCCTTTTGTAATGATGGACTGGGCCTTTATCAAGTTTGAAGCTCTGGCTGGTATGATTCTAAACAGATCCAGAAAGTCTGATCTTGGGTTGGGTTCCTGGAAAGATTAATTCGTGTGACCCCTACCCTGGCTCCAAACTGTTCCTTCAATAAAGACATTTGGAATTCACTCTGAATATAAAGATATTGTCAATGCTTCCTGGAAGGCTTGTCTCACTGGTATCAGAAAATATTTGATGTCTTGGGCTAGTTGGACTTTTCCTACCCTGAGACATAGAGTTAAAGTTTTTGAAATACTGCTTTCTATTGTACTTGGCTCAGGTGCTCCCCTTACTCCAGAAAATTTGGGACTGGGATTTAGTATAAGAGCAAGTTGAAAGGCTTGGTGAAGTATAAACTAGAGAAGTTTTAGGTTCATATCAGTTTGGATAAAGTAAAGCATAAGATGGAGGAGTTTGGAGTCATTGTTTCGCTTAGAGTGGGAGTTCTTGATGAATTTCTGAAGTATGGGATGGAACCCTTCTGCTGAGAATGAAGTTAAAGGTTGGGGCTGCCTTACCTGCTTTTATCGAAATTGGTGTCATTTGAGAATCCTTGCAGATTTTCTCTGATCAGACGGATAGAACTTGTTTCAAATGTTTGCAAACTGGTCATATTGCTCTGTTCTGTATGAAGAGTGCTAAGGGTATTGTCAGAAGCAAGCCTATGCCTAAATCTTGGGCATCCAATGCTGCAGCTGAGTATCCCCCATTGGAACAGGTAGAAGGTGATGACCCTAGTCGAGATGCACATGAGGATGGAGCCTGTTCTGTATATGGTCAACATGTTGAGTTGCCTGGAGGAGGAGGAGATGCAGGCCTTGAAGATCCATTAGGAAGAGGAGATAGTATCCATGATAGTGAAACTAATGATCAAGTGGAGGAAGATGGAAGGGATTTTGAAGGGCAAGATTATACTCCCTCTCAAACTTTTCTGACTGGCATGGGTCTTGATGCTGAGGTTCCTGAGGTTCAATATCACCCAGAAGAAATTCTGCGCCTATTCATTTTTCGAAATGTGTAATCTGTAACTATTGATGAAGTCCCTGGACTTTTCCCTAATGGAGCGGAAGAACCACGGCCGGTTCTCCAGGATCAGCTGACTTATTCACTGGACCTGCAGCTTAGTCCAGAGTCTGTGTTAATCAACCTGGGTGAGAAGCATGAAACTAATAAGGTTGCAACCCCTGGGTTTTCAACTGGGGAAACTCCAAGCTTGGGCTCTCAGGTCTTGGTTGTAACAAACAAGACTCCTGGTTCTCCAGCTCAGTTTGTATGTGTAAGCAATATAAGGAGGGTATATCCACACCCTATTATTCAAACGAAGAAAGGAAACATTGACTATCTTCACCATGAATCAAAAATAATGTGCTAAGAACCACACTGAAATGCTTTCCGAAAAATTTCTCCTGTCTACCCAGCAAACCAACCATCCCCACGAACAGAAGTTATACTGCCCACCACCACCCAGACAGATGAAGAATACCCTCATTAGCAAGTTTGCCTACACTGTCAAAACTTATTTCCACCAGATATTGACATCAACCCTATTAGTTATAAATATGGCCTGAAAACTATTTATACCCAAGAGGTACACAACACTATTGCCAGACATTCCCTTAACCCCGTTGTCAACTTTCCTGCCCCTAAGATAAACATCAAGGATGTTCTGGGAGAATCTGGTGGAAGCAGTTGATCCCCAGACGTCAGTCTCTTCCTGGTGGGAGGAGGTAGCTAAGCCTGAGATTAGAATCTTTCTCCAGGAACTGTCAAGGGAGAGATCAAGAGCTAGGAAAGGTACCAAGCTTTACCTATTCCATAGACTAGATAAGGCTTTGGGGGACCAGGACTGGGAGTCTGTATTCTACATCAGGACAAGACTGAAAGCCATGTTCCAGGAGGAACTCCAGGGATTCCTTATCAGATCTCGGACTAAGGAGTTTGCTAAGGAGGAGTGAGGCTCTCTATATCATGTTAATAGAGAGGTCAAGCAGGGTAGGGTCTCCAACCTCTCCTCCCTTATGATCAATGGGGTTGAGGAGAGAGATAGTGGCAGGATAGAGTAGAAGGTTCTGGGGTTCTATGGCCCATTGTTCAATGGGAATCATAGGACTGTTGAAGGAGAACCAGATCCTGTTGATACTGGAGTACCTTTCAGCCCTTCAGATGAGTTCATTAGGGAGTTTATGGAGGGTTTGGGAGTGCTCCCAGAGGAGGAAAGGCATGCTCTTGAGCAACCTTTGAGTATGGAGGACTTGGAGAAGCCCTTGGAGTCATGTGCCTCACATAGGTCTCCTGGTCTGGATGGACTCCCATATGAGTTCTACCAGAGAACCAGGATCATCATTGGTCCAACTCTTGTGCAATTGTTTCAGGATCAGCTTGATTCTGGAGAATTAATCAAGTCTAATAGAGAAGGAGTGACCAGGTTGATAAGTAAGGTGACTGGGGTACCAACCATTACCCAAGTCAGGCCTATCACCCTGCTTTGCCGTGACTCTAAGATCCTCTCTAAGGTTATTGCCTCTAGGCTAAATAAAGTGCTTCCTAAAGTACTAACTAGTAATCAGTTATGTACAAACTCCCCAAAATCAATTCTTGGTGGAGCTGTAAACACTCTGTCTACTATGGACTATATTAATCAAAGAGGTCTTTCAGCATATCTAGTGAGCTTTGACATTTTTAAAGCCTATGATAAAACCTCAGTAGACTTTATATGCAAAGTATTAGTCAAAATGAAATTTCCTCAATGTTTCATTGGCAAGATAAAAACTATGCATTGTAATATTAATACTTTGGTTCTCTGACCATGAAACTTCCTGTTTCAATCATCCTTTATGCCTTTTTACCTTGTAAACCAGGAACCTCTCCTGGTCCAAATAGGTAAAGGGGTAACAGGAGTCTCCCTTGCTGGATTCAGGCAGAAGGATGAGGATTATGTTGATGATATTTCTGCTATCTACAGATGCTAAAGACCTCCTATACCTGGATCAGGTACAGTCTTGAACAGGTCCAATAAATCCAAGATTATGGGCCTGGGTAACTGGGTTGGCAGAGATGTTTGGCCTTTACCCTGGCTCAGAACTGAGGAAACTCTAAAAAGATTTTGGGGGTTCAGCTCAAGCCCACAGTAAGGGCCACTGTTAAAGCTTCTTGGGAAAATTGTCTGCAGGGGTTTAAAAAGTGTTTGTTATCTTGGAGTAGCAGAATGCTCCCAACCTTGCAACATAGGGATTTTGTTATCTCAACTTTTGCAATGTCCAAGCTTTGGTATTCAGCCGAATTCTTCCCTTACCGAGGGAAACTCTTGACAAGTAAAATAGACTCACAAGGAAGTTTCTCTGGTTAGGAAGGTTGGAACACCTTCCTTATGATTAGCTCCATGTTTCTGTTAAGGAAGGTGGACTTGGAGTCCCAAACATACAAGCCAAATGTGATGCACTTTTCTTGAAACAAACCTGTAGAATGTTGCATGGTGAAACCTCCTGCCGAAAACATTATCCTACTGGTTAGATTTGCAACTAAGAAACTACTTTCCTGATCTTGCCAGAGGTCTTAATGCTGATCTAACTCCCACCTATTTTAAACACTCTTTGAGCTTACTAAAGGAGGGGTTCTCCTTGGAAATATTGAGTCCTGGAGATTTAGGTTTGGTTAAAGTAAAGTCTTTGTACTGCAACTTTTTATCCACACCTCCTCCAAGGATTATCTCCAGGTTTCCAGCTCTGCCTTGGCCTCTAATCTTTGGTAGGATGAATTCTCCTGTTCTGTCTCCTGCATCTAAGGACTTAATGTTTATTATAATAAATAACATTTATCCAATCAAACAGAGACTAAATAGGTTGAAACAGCATCCAACAGGAAACTGTGCCTTGTGTAGGGTTCAGGAGGACAATATACACCTGTTTTTAGATTGTTACCATTCCAGACCTGTCTGGCATTATGTCAGAAACCTGATAATTAGTATTAAACCTGAGATAAGAACTATACCCTGTGAGCATTTTCTCAGGCTGTCCTTTCCCTGGACCAGACATTCCCTTAACCCAGTGCTCAACTTTCCTGCCCCTAAAATAAACATCTAGGAGTTGCCATACCATCCTAGCTCAACTCTGCTCTGGTTACTCTTCACATCTAAAAAGCTACCTACACTGTATAAACCCCACTGTATATAACTCAGACAGCTATCCAGACTGTGGACAGAGGGTGGCTCTGTTTACAGCCCACATTTTTGACTTTGTGGCTGTCCATCTCGACTCCAGACTGGTTGAGAACAAGATGCAGAATAGGAAGGGCTACAACAATAACAACAAGAAAGGAAACCAACAGAGTCTGTTAGAATTGAATATTGGTGGCTAGGCAGAAGTATATAATGCTGTGATTAAGGTGGAGGTAAAGAGCTCTGTATAATGGTCACCATCAGAGGGTGTGAGATCAACTGGTAAATACTGGAGTGGATTTTGAACCTGCAATGGAGTATCTGGATGAGTTCTTGGCTGATCTACCACAAATGTCACATGATGAATCTAACAATGTTGGGGATAAGGTGGCAGAGAATAGAAGTGATATTAGATTTTAGGAAGGTAAAAATATTTTACTTGGGCACATACATAAACCATTACTTTGTCTGATATAAATTAAAAGATCCAAAAAAAATTCATAGCACTCCAAAGTATATGTTTTTAAGTTCACTAGTTTTAGATACGTTCAGAAAGGCAATGTTTAATTTAGAACAGATTTTTCCTTTAGCATGAAAATGTTAAAATTTGGCGCAGTGAATATTTTTCATTTGAAAATAGGAGCGCAATAAGATAGAGCCATTTAGTCCTACAATTTTTTTTAAAGACTAGATTTTAAAAAATTTGCTTGCCGCCCCACACTTTCACTCAAAATTTATATTTTTTTTTTTTAAATCCAAACCTTGCTTACACATTTCCTGTGCTTTCCACTCCCCGAAGCTGTTCATTGTTTGGACATACAATTGACCAAATTCACTTTTTAAAAAATCAAGGTGGGGGGGGGGGAATTATTTCAATTATTTCAAGTCAAAACACATGAACTTTTTCATTAGAACATATTAATATGCAGTCGAGAATATTTTAATTTGCAGTTGTCTGAGTAATATTCTCAATCACCAAAAAATTTTGAGCAACATTCTTTTTATTAAATCCTAGAAATTTTTAGTTTAAAATTAAACTTAACTGTAGTTAAAGGCTTAATTAAGCTTAATCTATTTTTGCGATATTTTGAATTTGAATGGCTAGGTTCTAGTACCTAACATTAAAGCCCTAAGTAAACTATATGACTGGCTAAATAATGCCTGTAGCAAGATCATATAAAATCACTAAGGTTTTTCCTTGTTGTTAGTGAGGTTAGGAAGAGGGATTGATTTCACAAGCACAAAAAACTTTCGAGTCCAACTTGTCTAGTCAATAACAACTAAAATTAAGAGCATCATACATACTGAAGGTTACAACATTTCCAAGCTTAACCCTATCCGACTTACGTCTGGTTTACCCAAAATAGACTAGGGGGTTGACTCGTATTTTCTTATCGTAATAAAAATCTATAATATTTGTAAAGCCCTTGGGCTCTACTTCAATAATCTGAAAAAATCGCAAATTTGCAAAAATCTTACTTTTTATTGCAAAATCTAGTCATTCAATAAAAAATGTGCAAAACTAAAACGCTAAATGCGTCAAATTATTCAAGAAAAACTGGAAATGTACAAATTCTCTTGAAAGGTGCGTTTAAAAAATTGTGCAAACCCATCGCCTTGTGTTAGGTAGAAAAGCCATACAATGGTTGCATTTTAAATGGTACACAAACAGTTAACTAAAATTATAACTAGAAAGTGTCTTAAAAACATAAAATTGGTTGATGCACCTTGTTTCTACTTTTTTATCATTGGAGTTAATATCTGTCTTAGTTACAGTAAGTATGATGTCGTCGTTTTTTTCATTAGAAATAAGTTAATTCCCTCTGTTGTTTATTTTGCATAAATCTGCATCTCATTTTACAAAGAAATCAAGATTGAAAATATTCCATTTATAAATTGAAAGAAAGCTTCATTTTTTTATATCATTGTTAACTGGCAATTCAAGATGTTTAATTTATTTAGGATGAGTTGAGAAAAGTTGAGATGCCAAACGTTTACCCTGATTCTCAAGTGCAGAGTTGAAGGTGAATAGTTGAGCTCCATCTTTAAACTCGCAAGTTTCAAGATCTGCCCGCGTGGCCCAATGAAAAAGCCCTACCTTTTTGTCGTCTTCCTGAATTTCAAAGGTTCAGGTACTCTGTCCTCCCTTCCCATAAGCCTGTATGTGACTATTTCTGGCTAACTAAGAAGGGTAATCCTACTCTGCAACCTGTAAGGTCCTCCTGTAATCTATACTGAC